TTACACAAGTTGGGAGTTCTTGACATTCACTCTCCAACTTAAGGGGGAGTGTTAGACAAGTAGAAACTTAGTTGAAGTCTACATATGTTTGTAATCCTAGTTGTAGTTGTATTCCTAACTTGTAGAGATAATATCCTTGCTGACCTAGTTATGTAATTGTATATATTCATGTTTCACGAATATATGAAATACTTCAAGCCAATATATTTTTTGTACAGTTACTAATTAGCATTGCATTGACAAATGACAAAGATGCTAATACAGATCCGCACATTGATTGTGGCTTTCTCAGCAGAAGTAGTTTTGAACCAGGGTTCGTATTTGGCACAACTTCAGCGTCTTATCAGGTCAATCCCTTTCTGAGGTTGCCCTTTATTTGTGGCTTTGTATAACTACTAGGGTTTATTTTTGTTTAAATTAGCATCCATGTATGCATGACTATCGGCATCGATTTCTTCGTTGTGTCGACCTCTTATGTGTGTGTGAAAATATTTCAGTTCGAAGGTGCTGCAAAAGAAGATGGTAGAGGACCAAGCATATGGGATCCCTACACGCACATCCATCCAGGTCTCTCTAATCAATTACCAATTAGTTGAACTTATGGATAAACTTGAGCTACTATTATCTGGTGAAATTGAATTCATTCATTTCAAAGAAAATTGTGTAGTTCTCTCACATAATTTTTTAGGGTTAAATGCAGAAAGAATTGTAGATGGTAGCAACGGAGATGTCGTTGTTGATCAATATCACCATTATAAGGTTAAATAATCACAGAACTTTGAAGCTTATGGAAACACATGAAACTGAAAGACAAGAACCTTCATTTTGAGCTTCTTTCTTTTAATTATTTTTTCTTCTGTTATTAGTTATATGTAGGAAGATGTCAGGATTATGAAGACTATGGGGTTAGATGCTATAGGTTCTTTATCTCATGGTCTAGACTGCTACCAAATAAGTTGATCCAACTGAATCATCGTATTTTTTGTTATACAAATTGTTATATCTAAGGGGATGTGAGAATAAATTGGTAGTGAAATTCGCTATTTTCGAGATTTGAACATAAAATTTCTCACTTGTAAGTGAGAAACACCATTAAAATGTAGTATTAAGTGACCGAATTCATCGTATTCGGTTGGGAGTCTTGAGACCAATCATCATTATTATTATTGTACATAACAACTGAATTCTATTTTGTGCGTCTAAAATTTTGAGTTATTTGCTTATTTACTTGTTTTGTACTAATTATTAGATAGACAGTTAAGCGGCGGTGTGAACCCGAGAGGAATCATATATTACAATAATCTCATCAATGAACTCCTACGCAATGGTGAATTCTTTTACCTTAATTACATATAAAATTATTCTACGCAACATGCATTATTGCACTAAATGATGTCTCATTGATTAAATTTGTGCTTGAATTCAAGGTGGAATTTGATTAATAATTATAATAAAAATTTATATGACAATGAATGTGTCACATTATTTGATGCACAAATTGATATATGAATTAGATATACGTAGCACTACCTATCAAATAATTAATATATAACAAGAGTTACGTCCACTATTGAAATATTAATTTAATCAAACTTTCATATAGGTATAAAACCGGTTGTGACACTCTTTCATTGGGATCTTCCTCAAGCTTTGGAAGACAAAAATGATGATTTCTTAAGCCCTTATATTATGTAAGTGAACAAATTTACGTGCCAAGTTTTTCTTTTGGTGCAAAAACTTTACCCGACGACCATAACTTTGTCCGCTGAATTGTTTTCATTGGGCCAAAGGTTCTACAGAAATTCAAATATTGACTGTTTTTGTCACATTCCAGTTCGAGCCCCCATCATATTCGGGCTCGACTTCACCGTAGCACGATATTGTCGCTTTGGACCCCATCCACGCCCTCACGGTCACTGTTTTGTTTCTGGGAACTCACTGAGCAAAACTTCCCAATGGCTCACTCATCATAGGAGTGCTCTGGCCCCTTTCTCACTTAACTTCAAAGTTCCTACGGAACCCAATGCCAGTGAGCTCCCAAAAGACTTCGCGTTAGATAAAGATGAGAATATACACATAAGGCTTATAGGATCCACTCCCCTAAGCGATATGGGATGTTACAATCCACCCTCCTTAGGAGCCCAACGTCCTCGTCGGCACACTCGCACCGAACGGCAGAGTGGGCTCTGATACCAAATTGTCACATCCTGACCCGGGCCCCCACCACATCCCGGGTTCGACTCCACCATAGCATAATATTGTCCGTTTTGAGCCCCAACCACGCCCTCACTGTTTTGTTTCTAGGAACTCACGCGAGCAGAACTTCCTAATGGATCACCCATCCTGAGAATGTTCAGGCCCCTTTCTCACTTAACTTCAGAATTCCTACAGATACCAGAAGCCAGTGAGCTTCCAAAATGTCTTGCGCTAGGTAAAGATGATAATATACATATATGGCTTACAGACTCCACTCCCCTAGATGATGTGGGATGTTATAGTTTTTGCCTAAGGAACATAGATATTCCGTCGGGTAAAGAGTTTAGCCCGATGAATTATAGTTTGTCGGTTAAAACTTGTTTCTGATAGTGGATCGACCATTTTAAATAAATATTAGTATATATTAATACATTTTAAATGTGTATCTGAAACAATCACTTTAGAGATTATGCAAAACTTTGTTATAAGAATTTGATGATTGAGTAAAGCATTGGATCACGTTGAATGAACCATATAGCTTTACAAATAACGGTTATGCAATCGGGTCTCATGCACCAGGACGTTGCTTTTATTGGCAAAATCTAAATTGCCTCTCCGGGAATTCGGCAATCGAACCATACTGGGCATCACACCATGTCCTTCTTGCTCATGCACCTGCTGTAAAAGTGTACAAGGACAAATATCAGGTGTATTAATTTATTAGTTTTTTTTTTTTTTTTCTTAATATTAGGTCCTATTTGAGAATTCTACACAAGTTAATAGTATTAGGTTGTACCTTTTCTGGCTCTTAATAATCAAATTCATGTTCTTGTGTGGGCATTTCAAAAAGGGGTCATCGGGATAACATTGCTTACACATTGGTTTGTTCCTGCTTCGGAGACAAAAGAAGATAAAAATGCTGCACTGTGATCTTCGGATAGTAAGTATATTGTTTGGTTTATACACAGACTCAATTAAATTTAAAAGTATTTGTCAATTTGCTCCCGAATTTGTATAGAGCTATTAATTTTACTCTTGAATTTTAAAAAAATTTCATCTAATTTTCTATCTATTTCATCACACGGACAAATCATGATAACTATATAAAGGCAAAAAGGATGGAAAATTAGATGAATGAAAAATTTTAAAATCTAACAGCGTTTTCGCCGGCGGGCTGGGGGGGGGGGGGGGGTGGGGGGTGGGGTGGGGGCGGGGAGTTGTCTATTTCTAAAAGTTCAGGTTCATAAGGAAAATTGATAGCTTCATACAAGTTACCCCATGGGGGAGCCAAATCGATAAATATGCCTAAAATTTTAGGTTTTAGGAATTGGAATTTCTATGTTCTTGGGTAGGTATGTGGAGCCATTGACAAGTGGAGATTATCCACAGAGCATGCGATCTCTTGTTGAAAAACGATTATCCGTATTCACCAACGAAGAATCCATGCTGCTAAATGGGTTTTGATTTTCTTGGCTTAAATTATTATACTGCTAGATATGCAAGCCATGACGAACCTAATAATTCTTACAATATGCAAGCTACATAACAGACCCTCACGTCAAACTTACAAGTGAGCACAAGTTGAAATTAAGCTTTTCTACTTTGACAAATATGTTCTTACAATATAATTGGATTCTAATATCCATTTTTGTCGTGGCAGCTGAGCTCAGTGGAGTCCCGATTGGTCCACCAGTACACATCAAATCATTAGTGTTTTATATATATAATTGTTTTCTACATTCAAACATAGCTCTAAAAGATCTTGATTAATTTCGTTTGTGTTGCAATCTACTTCAGATTAGTTATATGTTATCCAAAAAGAGTTCACGATCTATTACTCTATATAAAAGAAAAGTATAATAATCCACTCATTTACATTACTAAAAATGGTACGTAACCAATACTTTTAAGCATTAATTATTGCATCATCAAGATTTGACATTAATGGTGTGACATAAAATTATGAAAAATTTTCTAGAACATTCAGGGAGCATCCTATATTTTCACTGTTAAATCTTAATTTTGTATTGAAACATGCAGAGTATGAGATACTAAATGTGCGTGATAATGCATTATATTGTAGGTATATCCGAGTTTAATGATCCTTAATTAAGAGGAGAATTCTCTAACCTTCTATTCTCATTCGTTTCAATCCCCTCTTTTCACACATTGTTTTTTGTCTAATTATCTCTATAAAAAAAAAATCAATATAAGATGTTGACGTGACTTAACCGTAATCGTTCAAATAGAAGTGCATGAAAGGGTAGAGAGATTAGGAGGGATAAAGAATCCACGTCCCCTCAATTATCACTTGAGGAAGCCTTTAGTGATACTAATAGAGTTGACTACTATTATCACCACATATTTTACTCAAGCTGCAATCAAGTAAGTGTTTATTATGACACGTGGTGTACTGGTCCGGATTTCCGGCACACTAAGAGATATCTTAGCTTTTTCTCACTATGGTTAATTAATAATTACATTGTCTTGAATGTTTCTGAGTTTTCCCGCTTTTACTTCGGTGTAGAAATGGTTCCAAAGTGAAGCGATACCTTGCATGGTCATTACTGGACAATTTTGAATGCGAAATAGAATACACTATTTGGTTTGGTATCAACTATGTGGGTTGTAATAATGGATTAAAAAGATATCCAAAATTCTCTGCATACTGGTTCAAAAGTTTCCTCAAGGACTCGAGAAGTGCGACAATCTGAAATGTTAGAGACACCAAATTTATGTATGAAATTTGAAGATCGAATTAAATAGATAATAAACGATTGTCGAGTTATCAGTTCTTTAATTACTGAACTTATAAGCAAAACCATTTATTCAGAAAGGTGTGTAAGTGAAAGCGATCAAATCCTGCTGTGTGAAATAGTTCTATATCTCTCTCTCGTATACTCTGTATTAAATTTAGCTAAACAATGCCTATTTGCAATTTTGCAAGACCTCTGTGCATAACGATATAAAAACAAAGAGAGGATGGGGGACTCCCCTTCTCTGAATGTTGCCAGAATCGCCCGGATCGTAGAATCCGAGCTCGAGCTGCAAACCGCTTTATCGCGAGAAGGGCGTTGTACCTTTTTGGAGTATACACCAGGGATTCGAGTTGACATGAAAGCAGCATTACAAATGAAGAACCAAAAGAACACATAATCATACCCAATTGCTTGAAAGTGCAAAATCATGGAATCTAAAAGAGGACTCTCCAGCTGTATCTCTCTCAAGCCTGACCTCTGATAATCTCTCAGTCACACCTTCGCTACTACTCTCGTCGAACACTTCTAGTGGCAGTGGTTGTACTTGGTTCTCATTCGGATGTCGAGCCAATTGAACCTCAGGTGGCAATGGCATAATTGTTGGTGGGGAGATACTGCTCCTAAACCTAGTTTGGCCTCCGCTTGAAGAAACGACTGCTCGATCCCAGATGAACACGTGAAGGGAAATTGGAATCTTGGCGTGACGGTGAAGTGATAGCTTCTGGCTGAGCGAAATGGTGTCGAAGCATCGAATTGCTCCAGTTGAGGAAACCATCCATGGGAGAACCTTCTGGTTTGAAACCCTTGAGACCACCAGCAACCTTGATGCATCCATTGCTTCCTTGTACAAGTTGCTTAGCCCCGATCGAGTTGAAGGTGCATTTTCATCACCATCAACCACTGATGAAATGTAAATAAACCCCTGCAATCACAAAAATACTCATTTACAAGCCAAACCATCTAGTAGTGCATGGTCTATCAAGAAATGTTAGAGGGACTGCATTTCTTTACCAAGTTATAGCTTAACTAGCGTTTACGTAAGATTTAATTGAGTTTTAGTTGAATGCTCTCAACTTCCTTCATCATGGACATCAACTATCCCATATTTAATGTGGTGAACTCAAACCTTTCCCGTAAGTGGCCCTTTATTACAATGATGGAAATGATTTGAACCCTTGTATGCTGGCGTGGATTCGAACTTCGTCAGTGACTAATCTAACATCTAATCTAACAAAATCTATCATTTGACCAAAAACAAAACAAAAACAAAAAAAATGGCAAATCTTTCCTTAATGGAGAAGTAGGCAATAGGGGATCATATTATGTTGCATCCAACATATACTTACTACACAAAATTATTGCAAAATTGATTGTAAATTAGTACTTCGAACAAGCACATCAGCCTTCACAAATCGAGTAATTTTGTGCCTAATGGAAACTTGATCAAGGCGAGGGGTTAGTTGATCATATTATCTGGAGATATGTGACAGGTGGTGAACCCTAGAATCCACTTGTTACTCATAGTTATTTCAACTAGTTACAACGGACACATTAATTGTGACATAATATGATCAAGTCAATCACCTGCCCAATATACAATTGGTAACAAAGAGGAATTGGTCATGGAGAGAGAAATGAATTAATATACAGTATATATACCTCTTCTGTGCGGCTAATCGCAAAGCCAAGCTTGACATCATCTTCTTGTAATTTGATCTCAACTGCAATTTCACCACCAAGAGGAGCAAACCAAAGGCGAACTGCTCGGACAACACCAATGTCAACTCCATGGTAGTCCTCAAAACCATATAAGCTAGCACTTGCAAGATCAGCCAAGTCAGACAATGACCCCGCATTTACAGTCGAAGAAGCTGTCTCTCCAGAAATCTGTCATATATTTCACTCCTCATCAGACATACATATAAGATATACAATTATGCATTTTCTTTCCCTTGCGCTTCAATGAAAATCTCACTTTTGCCTTGAACATGCAACTGCATGACTTTGCCCCCTCCTGTGCTTTTTGTATCTCAAGTTACCCATTTTGTCAAGTCGATCAAGAAGATCGTTAACTTGGCAGATGTGCAAACTCGAAAGTTGTCATTTTCTTTGTTTTGCACGAGGTACCACAACAATAACCAAGTTAACGATGTTCCTAACCAACTAACTTATGGAAGGGTAGCGTGAGACAGAGTACATATAAGTCAAAGTCACACAATTGTAAGTTCGGGGAGAAAAATGGAAAGTTTCGCAGCACAAGGGCATATAAACGAAAAAGCCTTTAGTGTGTGTGATTAATCACCTTGGTGAGCAAGGACTCAGTCTGGATGTTCATGAAGACAACGGGGACACCGGCAGCCTGGGAGGCATTCAGCCAGACATTTGCCCTAGCAAGGGTGTCCTCTAAGTCATTGTAGCGAGAAGCAGATCGATCTGAAGCCTTTGGAAGGAAAAGTACAGATAGAAAGCTACTAGAGTAGGGAACTGGTAGCAATTCCTGCATTCTCCTTTCCCATGGATATGACACATACCCATCTTGAAGCTTAGACCTGGTCAGTGCACTCACCATCCGCGAGTTCCTTGAAGCTGCACATTGAACACATGCATATATGCATGCAACTCATCATCTACTAATTTGATTTCACACTTCTCTTTATAAAAAGAAGAAAGTAACAAGTTAAACAAGTGTAAGAATGTGGGTTTTGATTTAATTGATTCTGGCACAAGTTTTCTGTGTTACTGCTTGTAGTTTCTCATACAAAATTTTAATTAATTCCTAGTTGTAGTAAGAAAATAAAACATAAGAAATATACAGTAGTTTTTTCCTTCCGTGAAATCAACTTATATGCAGGCAGGCTCACAACTGACCCTTTGGTGTTCAAACTGCTCACTGGTTTTAAACCTAGTCATGATCCATAGAGATCGACTTATCGAGCATGAGAAAATTTTATATGAAACGTTGTCACATGGTGTTATAAATTAACTCAAATTTTAACACTTGAGTATTAATTAAAAAAATATGTGTGTTATGACATAAGTAAAGCCTAGTTTTCTAGCATTTAAAAAATAACATGTGTCACATAATACTAGGGCTTAATAGTATTTCTTTTCACTTGTAAGTAAAATGTTTTAGGTTAGAATCTTGCGAATGATAAGGAACCCTGTTATAGCCAGACAAACTAATTACTCATAACTCAACAAGATCAATCGCACATACATAGTGTTTATTGTTATAGTGCAAATAATTAACTAGCTTAATTTAGAATGTTAATCCTATTATTCGATATACCTTAGCTCTTTTAAAGTGAAGCAACGATCAAACAATAAAAGCTTAATTCAACTGTACATTCTGAACATTTTACTAATAAAAATGGCTCAAGTGTCACATTACTCGTTATATTACATTATATTCACATAAAATTAAAAGACTTTTGATGCGGTTCTAAACTAAACTATAATGAGTATGTATTGAATAATGGAAGTTAGGTGAAGTGCATGAAAAGAATAAAATGTTTCAACCGATCGAAGCTGTCAACAACCGATTAGGTTTGGTCTACTTATAATTTTCAACAAAGAGGAAGTCATGAGTTCTCACGTGGACTTGTTTTGTGCTAGTTAAAGTTGGTTTGCATTCATACGACAAACACACATTCCATTGAAAATTATGTGCACAAAGGAAAGCTAGGCGTCGATAAATCATAATCATAATTAACATGCCACAATCACCAAGTGGGGGATAATTAATCACCAAAACAATAAAAATTTATAAAATATTAACAATAATTCATCTTCCTTACATGAAATAAAGGCAGTATAGTGATAGTCAACGGATGATCGTAATAGTACCTTGGATCTCGAAGCAGTCGGCTTCCGTCCGATCGCAGAAGCCGACAGTGTAGTTAGGGTCCGCAATGGACCTGAGCATGTACTGCTTGGTCCTACCGCCCACTGAGTCATTGGGGACTATACAAGCCTGCAACTCGGCGAACTCATCTCGTCCGCGTCGGATACGGACGAGAATGGAGGTGTCCTTGGCCTTGAAGGAGGCGTGGAGGATCTTCTGGACACCGCTCCTTCCGTTCTTAAACGGCGACTTGACGGTCATGGAGCTTCCAATACGAAGCTCCTCGACGATATCTCCAGTTTGGAGCATGTCGCCGGTCCACTCGTCCGCCTTGGAGCTGCCTTTGAGGCACTCGATAGAGAGCACCACGGGTGATTTCGGCTCTCTGGTTGGGGAGTCCGAGCTTGGCTGCGCTCTGTCCATGGTCATCAGCTCTTGATGATGTGGTGCGTTCTACGCTTGCATCTCATTTAATAATATGCGCACGAGAGAGAGAGAGCAGAGGAAATGGTTTGGATTGATGGGATTGGAAAAGGACTAAAAAGTCAATGACTTGGTGGGAGGTTATGGGCTGTTCTGATTTCATTTCACACTCGGAACTCAATTTCTACGAATTTTCAGAGGGATTTTTTAGCGTACGGAGACCACATATTTATGTCATGGGTAAATTGAAGTAATGATTCTTTAATTAAAAATTCATTATTATTTGTCTCTTAACTTATCAAAACATGTACAAATGATCTTTTTCCCCAACTCCATCAAAATTTTGTTAAAATGAATTATGTTGGAATGATCATTGCTACAATTGGGTTAAAGTTGAAGGATCATTGCTCTAATTGAGTTAAAGTTGAGGGATCATTTCTCCAGTTGAATTAAAGTTGAGAGAACATTGATAGAATTTCTCTTATTTGATTTTTCATATTTGCCTCTAGATTTAGCCTCACGTGCATGATATGTGACTCATTTTGACAGAAGTTCTAACAGAGTTGACAAAAAGGACTATAACTGCACATTTTGATGAGTTGAGAAACCAATGATAATGGATTTTTAGTTGAAAGACCATTACTACAATTTACTCTTATACAACAATCACTTATAAAAAAAAAAATTCATCTACTTATATTATGACACTTGATATATCGAACCGTATTTTCGGCGTAGAAAAAAATTTCTCAAATTTTCTCTTTCGTTAATAGGGAAACTTTCACGAGCACGTACCAAGAATTAAAAAAAAAATACAAGTAGTATAATTTAAATAAAATAATTATTAATATTTCGTGACAACGCTCAAGAGACATAAAAAAATTAGGAGTTTTAACGAAACACTCTTGTTACTGTGCACATTTAACGAAAAACCACATTTTTACTTTTCTCTAATATTATTTAATACACCTTTATATATCCTTTTTCATTAAAACTTTAAAAAAAAAATTTTGAACTTTTAGTTAGTTTTCTTTAAAAAAAAAAATCTATTTTTAATGGCATAATCACATGTCCTGTACTTGAGAATAAAATAGGTGATCAACTTGTAATGTTTCCTGGTTAATGATGCTTTGTTGAAACCATATGATGATAATATATTTCTTTGCGTTCTTTCTCTCGTATAAGAGAAATGCTAAGTATACTAATTTTTTATATTAAATTTGCAAATTAAGTGATGTGTCTTTAATTAAAAATAAACATGTTAATCAATATTTAAGTATAATCTAATTATCCACAATCACGTCATATAATTTACAAAGTATAATTTAAATAAATGATCTTCTTACCATTATCCTTATTGGAAACTTAATTTGGATCCCATCCGGATCTAAATTGTGGGGATCCTAGGAATCCTCGCATCTTAGCCATTCATCGTTATCTTGTGGTCAGAAACTATTTGACTTTTTTTTTTTTAAATTAAACACAAATATTACTTGACGAAAACTAACCGCACGATATATAATAAACTGACTAAGATATAAAGATTCCTATGATCCCTAGGATCCTCAGAAAGTGGATCCGGAGAGTTCCCCTTCCTTGGAAACTAATCTTTGCAGAACAACAGAAGTCATATTACTGTATATTGGAATTGGATAAGATCATTGCCACTAAGGTGTGGGCATTTTACAATGATCCATTTACCATTCACTGCTTGCTTTACTTTCGCTTGGGGTTCAGCCTAAGGTCAATATAACAATAGTAACACTTGTTAGCAAACAGCTCTAAATACAAATAGATAGTGCATATTCTGAGGTGAGTGAAGTGATCTATTCTTGATACTTACCATCGCAAATCTAATATTCGTAAAAATTCGTAAAAAAGAATTACATATGCAATGTAAGTAAATTTTTTGCTTAAGTTCATGATAAAAACATTATTTGGATCAGAGGCGTTTTTGTTTGCATTGGGTTGAAGAACTCAATTCCTTAACACCCCGAAAACACATATGCCTGCTAAATATACGTGTTGCTGAAAAAGTCATATGTGTTTAGGTGTTTCACTTCTTACGAAACTTTTCATTAAGTTAACCGTAGATGATGGACTACAACTGATTATTAATTAAAGTGACACATTGCTTCAAAGTTTTTTAACTGGCAAATTGCAAAGTTTAGAGTGAAAGTTCAAGGCAATTTGAGAATTGTCCTGCCAATATAATGTTCTCTTCCTTTTTTCTCACAACCTATATGCATCTTCTTCTTGCTAGTGAGCACGTTCAATCCTTCTATGTAATCGATGGAACCTACCCATACTACAAACCAATTAAAATTCTAAAAAATGGTGGGTACCAACATTATTCATGAATGTTCCACCAAAAAAATTTCAATAATATATATACCAATTTAGGTCTTACGAGTTGGATAGTCGGATTCAAATGGTGGGTGCCGTACATTATTTTGAATAATATTATTGATCAATGTTTGACCAGTCTATTTGAAATGAAGAACCGGTGCTTAGAGTCCAGGACTTGTTCAACATGAATTCTTTACATAATTCTCTCAAAACGAGTAGGCGGAGAAACGCATGTAAGGATTCTAGTCCAGATGCAGGTTAATCAACTTGCCATGATCAACAACTTATTCACTCAAACGTTCAAGTCAGCATCTTCATTATTATCGGGGAATAAGACACCCGGCCATTTTATTTTTATATGTGCACATATGAGTAATTTTTTATGGGACTATCAATAGAGGTGGTAAATCAACTAATTGAATTATTAATAAATATTTGTTAAGATATGCTTAATTTGATATCATCATAATATATATAAGATTGGTAATAATATTAATGGTGCAATGTGAAATCAAACTAAATAAGTCGTAATATATCATAATACATTTAAATTGATAACACGCGTTTCATTTAACCTTCACATTCTAAAATTTCTCTTGCTTTAGACACCACTTTGAAATAGAAAGGTAGTGGCCCACCATAGTACCATATACAATGCATGTGGTAATTAAGCTTACAAGGGGTGACAAAATAATAGCCCACCATGACGTTGAACGACCCAACCATTTTCCAGATAAGATTATCATCATAGCATGTTAAGTATGGTGCGAGACTTTTGATAGACTGAGCTAGGGACAATATGCATGACGTTGAAACATGATGAATGAATGACGATGATATTTGAAGAGCCATACCAGCCAATAATTTGGGATTCACATTTTTAGTAAAAATGAACCCACTAATTTAGCCTCATAATTTGGAGAGATTTTAGCGTGTCGAAAATACGGTCAAATACACCAAATATTAAAACACAATTAGTTAGAAACTTAAAAAAAAAAAAAAAAATTCAACCGATTGTATTATGATACTTAATGTATCCGATCGTGTTCCGGACACATTGAAATTTTTTTCTATAATTTGGGGTTGACATTAATTTTAAGTAGGATCACAATGTCCCGTTCACCCCGGCCTTTTTTATTTCAGTATGCTAAACAATAGTGAGCTACCCCAAAATGATCAAGTCTTTGTAATGATTATTGGTCGGTTACAAGAGTTTTATTTGGGGAATGATTTTTACGTCACTTTTTCTCCACTATCTACTTGAACAAGATATTTATTTCCGAAGTATAATGTGATACACCACGTCTTATAACATAAGTATACAATGGGATGAGCATTTTAATGGGTGTACCGAACAACCTGACCAACCCAACCAACCCAGCCTATCTGCGTGTTCACTGTTTGTAAAATCTCTACGTAAAGATGTGTTTGTGTTCCAGACTGATCTAACTGTGGATCCCATCGCCAATATCACTAAGGAGGCCAATGGCTTGAAGAGCTCCCTACTAGGGAAGCACAATCCCATTCTGGTGGAGCACAACACAAAGACAAACGATATGCCCTTATTCAGTATCCTTTAAGTGATAACAAACTTATCACTCTCGACCCTAAAGAGGGCAAAAGGCTTCTCTGGCGCCCCAACCCCCGCGTCTCGACCCTTGTTACCTTAGGGGCATCAACTTGGCTCTTTTGCATAAGGAATCTCCTCAGAACTGTCCTGCATTCCCCTCTGAACCTCCCGATCTTTAACAGTGGAAATCGGGGATGGGGGTTGGGTAATATTTGGTTGTGAGGACTGAACGGGCCGGGACGCAGTTTGCAGGGTACCCTATGCAAGTCTATCTCATGTCAAGTGACTATATTAGTTAGGTTTATTGGTTCATTCTATATTAATTAATTTGGCTACAATTTTGGTGGGCCACCAATACTACAGGGACTTGTTTTCAAACCCACCGGGAGGCCTTGGACATCATATATATACAAGGACTATACCATTGTAAGTACTAGATATAGAGCTCCACGGGAGATGCTCTTGGGCCTTTCACTGTAAGTCGGAGTGAGTGTTATACAATTTATATAGGAATTCGACAGCCTGAGTTTCATATCTATAACATTAATGTTACACTAAGTAAGTTCAATAGCTATGAGAGTAAATACTTCTTTTACAAAGTTAGTTTGTAAGTGTCACACTCAAGTTTAATAACACAGCCAATATATTAATATCACACTCAAAATTTCCGGCCTACTATAAAAGCGTGAATTTTTCAGCCTACTATAAAACTGTGTTTTCTATATGAGTTTCATATATTAGTATCATACTCACTTTTATCGGCCTATTGTTAAAGGCCTTATGCATAATTTATACATGTAGCTACAAATATTCACATACATATAATACTTATATCTCAAACATATAAGTATCGGTAATGCTAAGAAGATCAAAATTTAATTAAATTTGAAAATAAATGATGTGTTACTAATAAAAAATAAACACGTTAATCACGTTTAAGTGATAATATTATCATCAATAATTACATCGTTTAGTTTGCAAATTTAGTTTTAAATACTTCTAAAACTATGTATTGTAGTCAATCCATAATCAACACTCCAAACAAAATCCCCCCCACGCCGGTACAAAAAAAAATGATAATAATAAAAAAAATGGATCAAATTAGAGTAATAATAAAACGACGCGGAAAGCAACGTCGTTATTAGAGTTGGCTTGCAAGCAATAACAAATTGGGAAAAATCCGCCAAAGCAGAGGAGGATTTTCGTACGCCAGTTAACAATTAGCAGCCAGAAATATTCTGAAAATCTTGGAATCAAATGGAATCTCCATCGTTTACCCAAAAAAAAAAAAAAAAATTGGAATCTCCATCTCCGTAGCCCTCCATACAATAATTGGTGGCCTCAAAACCCCTCAAAATTCCACAATCACCCCACAAACTTCACTTGGATAATAATTTGTGTCAGAAACCTGTTTGGTTCCCGGGAAAATTCAACTGCTCGAAACGGTAAAGGTAAAGGTAAAGGAGGAAGCCTTCTTTCCAGGCTTCATATTTCACTTGAATTAATCAATTATCCATTTTATATGTGCCTTGTGGAATTACAAAACTGCTGAATTTTGAATATGGTTGTTGGGTTTTTTCAAAGGTGAGACCTTTGTGATGGTTTATGCTTATTTGTTATCAGAAAAATGTGCAATTTTGAATTTGGTTTTTTGGGTTATTTTTTTTCCAAAGATAAAAAGTTTCAACTTTGTGATGGTTTATGCTTGTTAATTATTAGAAAAGTACTCAATTTGGAATTTGGTTTTTTGGGTTTTTGTAAAAGGTGATATAGCATTGTGATGGTTCATCGAGTTCTGCAACCATGCTGATGGTGTATGCTTCAGGAGCTATTACATATACAGATTCAGCTCATAATTTTTTACAGCATGAGGCAGTTTTACCCTGCAAGACTACCCATGTGAATTTCTTGAACAAAATCTCTATTTGTACTAACCCAATTGGAGCTCCTTGTAATTCTGCACTCTCTGCTTTCTACTTGTCATGGAGAAGTCGTAATCAGCTAAACAGCCCCAAGAAATGGCTAGTAAGTGTTTCTGTAAGTTTCTTTTGTTTAAGATTTTCAGAGAAGGAAATGGATCTTGATATTTGTACGATTGTTTGATATGTTTTGATATTTCTCATTGCAGTGCCGGATGCAGGATTCGATTCCATCTGATGATGAGTATCGATCATCGCGCAACATAGCAATCAGTTTATTTAGGCGGTACCGGAATGTGGTCGACCGTGGAGGAGGTGCCAACCTAAACGTATATACAGAATTCGGTGATATTTTGTGTGTTTTGCTTTGTTTAATTTCTTTCACAACTGATGTTTCGTTTGGTTGATCAGGAGTTCATCAGTGCTGGGGTGAATGCTTATGCACTGGGCTGCACAGACGAGGGATTAAGAAAAGAACTGCTTGATATGAAAGAATCTGGTGTTGAAATTGAAGGAATGCAAAGCTATGGTGGAACCACCAGTTTGAAATTCAAGATCACATCGGAGGAGGTAAACTTGCTCTTTAGTTATTAACGTTTACCCATTTGTCGAAATGCAACCATTGTCGTATACATTGATACATTATCTGAATGACTATAAGGATTGGAATATGAAGTTTTTTGCCCAATTCTGATGATCTTTGTGATCTCTTGACTAAACTGAGTGTCAGTCATAGTCTAGTGTTGGAAATGTAAGAAGCAGGAGTGCGTGTTAAGTTTTCTGTTGGTCATGATTTCGACTTTTTTCCTCTTACGGTGAATGATTAGTTCCCTTTTCCGTCTTTTCTTCACAACGCAGGTTGATGAGTGCATTCTGTGGTTGAGCATTATATTCATCACCATATTGTGTACGCCACAGCCAACAATAGTTAGATGGTCATCCATACCTCCAGTATCGGACGAAGAAAGGCTTAAATGGAAAGGCTTTTGTGCACTCATAGCAAATGCGTATTTTGTGAGAGGAATGGCATGGTAAGCTTCTTTCAGCATATCCAAATCCTACTTTGAGTTATATATATATCATAATCCGTATTAAACATGGCTGAATTTCTGCATCCGAATCTTACTTTGAAAATCCGGATTTTTTCTGTGCAAGCACACCGCTGTGTATTTCTCAAGTACATGCTATGACAACAAATTATCGGCCTCCACTTTGACCTTTTCAAACTACTCTTTCGTGCAATATAAACCGGTTGTGAAGGTTCACCTCTTTGCTTAAACTTTTTTCCTTGAAGGCTTCCAGTAAAGACACTTCAACTAGAGCAAATGGCAGTGGTTGGACAAGCCTGAGGAACCATCAGTTGTTGCAAGTCGAATGCGATTAGTTTTTAGCACACTTGAGGTTAGCTGAATATAGTTCATTTTCTTAATTGAGAATGTGTTTAATATCAAGCCCCTTGCCCTTGTGGCGATTTCAGCTCTGTAGTCTCCGTGTTGCTAATCTAATTTCTGTAATCTGTTTTTAGATGGTATTGAACCAAATTATGCTCTGCCGTAGAATATGTGATAAGGAATTGACTGTGATGACCGAAAAATTACTTGCTTGTGCAGGTTGTGAGTCCACACTGGCCTAGAGTATAGCGGTTCGGTGTCAAGAACAGATGACATCCTGCCCGTATTTTTACATTTGTAGTATGTGAATCTGTATGGCCTAAACCTTTTCCACTTTAGAATGGAAAACAGGGGAAAATACTATAGCCTCGTAATCGAATTTTTACTTATGAATGTGAAGAATTTCATTGTTTTGTTCACATGTTCTTTCAAAGGTTAAAAAGATTGACTTGCATCACAATCTTGTGCTTTCATGCCATGTCACAATGAAAGAAGAGGGCTTCCCTCATGGTATGCAGCTTTTTCTGTCATAGCATGAATTTCTCAGACCTATATAGTCTGATTCTTATATGTACTAGAAAAAATATCGACAACAGGGATGAATACCCGGAATTTCATGTATTGTTTTTCTCGTTAACTTATTTTAATGAGCCGAAATCTCACTCACCGGCCTAAACAACGAGCAAACACTCGAACGTTAGAGTAAGGATCAATCAACGAATAAATGAGCTCGACTGAGGAAGGAGAGAGGGGGGCAAGAACCATGCTTTCAGAGAGAAGTGCCAGTCTAAATCTTATCAGAACTGTGAGAATAACTAAGCCATGCCATACTGACATCGTCCCTTTGCCTCTTTTACTTGGAATAATCAAGTATTTGCTTATCTAATTTCTCTTCTTAGTTAACACTGATCACACTAGAAGTTCGAATTCCTCTTAAGATTAGGAAGTTTAACCCTCCCTTCACACCAACTTTAGACATGATAAGCTCCTCTTATGCGCACCATCAGGTTCCCAACCTTCATTCATTCTACGAATTTCTCATAACCAATAATACTACTTAGACACACAAAATTGACACATTTATTTAGGCAAAATACAAGTGGGCTCGACTCTTGTATGTGTTAGTTTTGTATGTCTAAATAGCATCACCCCGACAATTGATATCTATATGCCCCAATTCTAAAAGGAAAAGCAAAAGTGGTGAGAGTGGAAAGGGAAACCTAAGCTAGTTTCTTGAAAGGCGATCTCCAAGTCCAAAGCCATTCATGATGTCTTTCTTGAATTCCGAGTCTTGAAAGCGTACGTTAATCTTTGAGATCAAAACCCTAGCCTTTCTTGATTCCCAAGTATTGGACGAGCGTGACATCGAAGTATGGAGATGCAGCAGCACAAGAGAAGAAAGATGAAGATGGAGAAAGGGAAGGAGATAATTACTGATGATTCTAACACTTTGTACCTGTGTTTTTGTGAGCCACGTATTGGGAGACCCGCGGCCGCATTTAGGTTCTTCAACATCATTCCTGGCCGCGGGTCTACACCAAGTGGGTTAAACTTGAAGCGAAGGCATTCCCGACAATATGGGTGCGGGTGTCTTTGGCTCCAAAATTGTTTTGCCTGGCCGACTGAAGGCCATATTCAGCAGCTTACCACCCTACCTCACAGAAACATGTCTATGCCTTCGAAACTGATCCCGCTCTCGATTCTATCATCAAGCAGCCTCCCATGAAACAAGGGAAATCTGGTCCCATGTTATTGGAGCACAAGGATAAATTCTATCACGTTCTCCTATGTTGGACCCGGTTGGCCTCCCTACGGAAACCGCTTTCGAGGTTTTCGACCCTAGTGTGGGAAAAAGGGTGCCTATGCGACGATCCACTTTATCTAACTGTAGGCACCAACATCTTTGTCGCGTCATTTGGCTCGTCTTCGTGTAAATATGTGTTTGTCTTTGAGACTGATCCAACGGTGGATCCCAACGCCGGTATCGTCAAGCATCCCCAGCATGTCTTCAACAACAGTCCCTACAGGCTACAACAAGGGAAAAGACACCGCTGATGGTGGAGCATGACGGAAATTTATATGTTATTGCCTCTGATCCTTTCAAGAGCGTGATAGGCACCCCCGCAACACCCTCTTTCGAGGTATTTGACATCAGGAGGGAAAGTTGTTGCCTCTTCCCGAACCTCCATTTTTCGACTACTCTGGCTTTTCAGACTGTTATAATAATCCCTACCCTTCTATTAGTTATACAATTGTAGGCACCAACATCTTTGGCTCATCTTCAGATAGTCCTCTGTTTCGCTTCGAATCTTAACACGCATGGAAGATATGCAGATGCCACTTAAATTTTTACCTCCTGAACTTCCCAAAACATTTGACGATCGAACAAGTTGTTCCTAGGATTCTGTCCGTCTAGGAGGTCAAAAAGTCTGCCTTGTTTTGTGACTTTGTCCCTGTACTGAGAGCCATTCCACGATCGTCATGTACATGAAGATTTTGAACTAAAAAACAGCTTACAAGACAGAAAAGCGAAAAGGTCGGGAAGGTAAGGGTTGGTCTCGTAGTTTTTGAACTTAAACTTGCGGATAGTAGGGACGCATCTAGATGTCAAAATATTATCATCCTTTTCTCATGTTCGGGGTTTGAGGCTTGTTTCATTTCTTCTACATCTCTACCACCGTCCTTCATCCCTCTTTTCGCTATGTATTTCCCCTCTATAACTAACACAAAAGTGAAAACTAAAAATAAAAAACGAAATGGTTATTAAACGGTCCATTAGTTAATCCGGTGTTCGATTATAATCTATGGGAAAATTGGTCACAGCTTGAGCTTTTTACAAAGCAAATCATCTCTACATCATCATTCCTATCCTCTCTCTCCTCCATATGTTCTCAAAGTTGCATCAGATTGACTTGCATCACAAGTTTCCACAATTCATGCTGTATGAAACATATTCTGGCTAATTAACAAGATCTTCCGCTGAAAGAGCAATTTCACAATGTAACCAGACGATTTCCCGACTTCTGCAGCTCTGCAGTTCTGTGATAAAATACAAAACTCTCTCAGCACCTATAATATATCTATATACTAGCTTGATTCTTATATCTACTTCAAAGTATCATCGATGCCAGGGATGAATAAACTCAATAGTTGCATATGCCGTTCTCCACATCAACCTACAAAAGGTAGACAAGAAAGAGATATATGAGAGTACATTTTGGATAAGAAAGTACAAGTTGAAAATCTTGAACCCTCCCCTCAAAACACTTATTTCGGGTCACTCCCACCAAAAAACAGACCATTATTGTTTGATATTTTGAAAATCAATTGACCTAGTATTGATGGCAACAGCAAGGTCTACCTTTCTATGCCCATCTTTTCTGTGGGGAGCATCCTTTAGTTCAGATATAGAACGCCTTCGAATGGTCTTTTTTGAATCCCCACCAGCTGATGTCGGCCTTGGCCTTGAAAATTGAGTGGTACTGGATCTTGTGATAGGGCTCATTGGTTGAGATTTTGGGCTTGCCGGTTGAGATTTTGGACTCATTGGTAGAGAAGTTTTGCTTACTGAGTGTACTTGCCTTGAATTCATGGTGATCACTTTTAGAGGATTCAGTGGGTGGGATTTTATGCGACTGTTAGTTGGTTTCACCTTCGAAGTTGAGGCTTTTTCGGGCTCTGGTTTCTTAGTTGTTTGAACAGGGTCAAGGATCTGAGGAACCTTTCGAGTTTTAACAACAGGAGGAGCTGGTGATCGAATCCGTGGAGAGCAGTCTGAATCAGAAGATGAAGGGCCAGTAGTACTATCCATATCATAAAGGATGTTGTCCATCATGTGATGGATTCGTTTATCATCATCATGTGCATCTGGGGAAGAGAAAGAAGGTCTCTGAAGCCTTGTAAGGTGCACTACCTGTTTATGTATATGCATATATACATATTGACAATTGACATGAATAACTCAAAAGTCAAATACAGTATTTTCCGTAATCCTGAAACCCGATTTCTTACTTTGCAGCTCCTTACCTTTTGTTCTAGAACTACCATGTCCCTCTTTAGTCTTGTAATCGTTGAGTTCTTTCTACATATTATGTCTTCTAACTCTGAAATCCTCTGATATGAATGATAAGAATAACTGTGATCAGCCAAAGACAAAATTTGGCAATAGAATTATAGAAGTACAAAACGAGAACAAAAGAGGGAGGTTGCCTTTGAACCAGCACTTTCAGCTGACTGGAGTAAAATGGTCAGCTCCTGTATGGTTCCATCTTTCTCTTCACAATCCTTCTTGAGATTGTCTATTTCTTGTTCAATAGCTATGGCGTTTAGCTGCTGAAATCACAACGAATTACATCAAGAACATTAAAAAGTGATACCCTAGAAAGTAGAAACTGCCATTTCTGGTAAGTTTTGCGGACCAAAAGATGAAAGCAGTTCCATTACCTGGAAGTCTGCAGCAGAAGTGACACTTGAGCACAAGTCTGATAAATCTGACATCCGGCGCTCCTCTTGCTCTTGTACATTTAGCAGAGACACTTTATATCGTAGTATATGATCCCCATCAGAGGCCTTCTCAGCAATGTTATCCTGAGACCAAATTATGAGATTAACCAGATCAAGACTTCTGCATTAGTACAAGATAACTCGAAACAATCTATGTAGCGACACGGAACAAATTCTTACCACCAACCCATTTGGAAGGTCACGATGTTGATCACAGAGCCAACAACCACAATCAACAAATTTGATTTTATGGGAACTGAAAGATTCGTTGCGTTGCAGTTCTACATTTTCGAGGGTGGAAGGAACAAGAGTTCCCGAGTGATCCTTAATGTTATTCATCTGCTCGCACAGGCTGTCAAGCTTCTGCTGCATGCTTGATAATATCTGATCCTGGTAAACAATTTGACACAAGAATTTAAGTCAAGAATTATATTTCACCACTCGAAGGTTCTCAGCATTTAACAGAAAATCTTACGCGAATTCAGTTAACTCGAAAGATTGATACTTTACTCAAAAACAATATCAAATCTGATATTTAAAAATTTAGACAAACACTTAGCTGAACCTAAGATTTCAATATCAAATGTATATGAGAATATATAAAATGAACTTTAACGAAAAGTTTTGGTACTGTTCATTTTAACGAAAAACCATATTTTTATACTAAAAACTCAATTCTGATACTATTCACTTTATCTTTTTTTTGTCCTTATCGTTAAAACTCAAAGTTTTCTAGCTTTTTTCATTAGTTTTCCTTATATAAAATTCATGAATAAAATTAAATTGATATTAAAAACACATGCCCAGTTATGAATATAACCTCCATAACTACAACAGTTAAAATAAATATATAGAGAGAATCATGATTGAATTATACAAAATTTCAAAATTTATTAAAGAAAACGTCTAAAGATTC